AAGAATCAAGTGGTTTTATAAACTTTCAAGTATCATTGTACGCACGCACAATGATGCTTCAGGCGCTAGACTCGAGCCACGCGTATTAAAATAAAAGGCACGCACGTCATGATCCATGATATTCTTGGAAAACCGGAAATATGTAAGTGCAGTGGAATGCACTGCATACTTCCTTGATTCGTGATATCGATATTTTCCCACGGTCTTACACAAAGAGGATAAGATTGCTCATATTCGCTCAACCCAAAAATTTGACCTCCATTTGTATTGAAGTCACATCGGCTAAAATATTTTCACGTTTACTGTTAAGCAATAAAATGAGCACTCGGCTAGAGGATTTGGATTATGGAAACAAAAATATTATGAAAATTAATTCTTCTAAACAAATAACAAAGNAGCGGATTTATTCAGTGAACATACGCAACACTTTGGATTGTGTTCGATTGAGTTCGACTGCCGAACCCAATCGAACACAATCTAATGAATTCAGTTCGGTTCAGTTTGATTTGTTCGACTGAGTTCGAATGGTTCGGAAATCGAACTCACACAAATTTCGGTGTTTGATTTGGCTCAATTGCCGAACTCAATCGAACTCAATCGAACTCAATGCACGGATTGAGTTCGATTGGGTTCAATTGAGTTCGATTTCCGAACGTTGGAGCATGGAGTGACTATGCCGGGGTTAACTTCCGGCTTCGATTTCTTTGTCCTACACAGGGTTTGGTATTCAGTCTTGAGTAAACAGCGTTACGGTTTTGAACCCACATATCCAAGTATGAGTCAAGTACTTCCCCCAGGACATTGAGCTCGTGAAGGTTGAAAATGATACAACAGTTATGATTATTAGGCCTTATGCAACAGTTGGTCACGTGACGTGCTTTTAAGAAAACGTTGGTTTGGACATTGTAATACATAAGGTTATCACAAATGAAAAGAACATTTACAAAAAAGCTTACATGAAAATTTTCAGCTTTATATCCTTCATAAAAGGAAATTTTTATGGACATTAGAAATTAGAAGGAGTTGTATGGGAAGAAGTCGCTTTGCCTCCGGTAACGCTCCAGTGGTTTTCTAGACAAATCCTAGAAATTTTAGGAGTTTTCAAGCTGCAATAAAATCTTTGCCTTTCGTTTTAAGAGCCTATAAGTTTCCTTTGTTCCTAATATTTTACACCTCGTTCTATCTTCAATAGTTGTATGCTAGCAGCTTCCTTTTATAGTGGTAGTGATTAATGACAGAATAGGAGGGCAAAGCTTCCCCCGGCTTTCAGTATTCAAATCGTCATTAAATCTCAACCTTCCACCGCAAAATTGGTGTTCTTGTTATTTGAAACATGCTCTTTCCGGTTCTGAAATTCATTTAGCTGCAGCTAAAAGTTTAGAATTATCAGTCACGTGACCAATAGTGTTGTGTTTTTTAGCTAAAGGGGGCTCAAGGGCATCGTTTCTTTGTCACTAGGCTAATCATCCAAATCGGATCCTGGATAGCCTGGCCTGGATAAACCTCCCTTTTCTCATGTAACGCCAGCCTAAAAGCCAACGCACATAAATTACAAAATGGCCCGTGCACTATATCAAGAGCGCAAGTGAGTTCAAAGTACGGAACTTGATATAGTGCACGGGTCATTTTGCAATTTATGTGCGTTGGCTTTTAGACTGGCGTTACATATCTTCGCTACAGTGACACAGTGCTGACGAGCCCCAAGAAGGACGAAACAGCTTTCCACTGTTGCGATCCAACTTTATCGGTTCTTGTCATGTTGGTGTCTCGAAACGTTTTTCACGTAGTATCAGCCTTGCAGTCTATTGCTCCTCGATAGTAGGTACGGGTGGGCGAGAGAAACAAGAGCGGGGTCAGGGAGAGAGAAGGGGAAGAGCTCTCTCCCCAACCCCACTCGTTTTTCTTTCGCCTGCCTACTTTTTCAATCTAATATGCGATCATTCTCGTTCCCATAACCCTTTTCGTTTCTCTTTGCCGACGCGGCCTTGGCATGAGAAACAAAGGGCTCCGGGGCCCGTTTCTCGAAAGCCCCGGAAACTTTTCGGGTCCGTAAAACCATAGCAAAATCTCGAACCTTACGACAGAGCTGTTGTATTCACATATTCTTAATATGAAGAGAAGTTCCCTTCATACAAGAAGTTTCAGGCGTATACACTTCTCCGTTTTTAGAATGATGCAGATGGACTGAAAATGGCTTTACGGGCCCGAAAAGTTTCCGGGGCTTTCGAGAAACGGGCCCCTGGAGACAAAGCATTTTCCAGGACTTCCGGTACTCATGTATGCAGTCGTTATGTTTCCATATACTGCATGGAATTGTCAATGGCGGCCGTCGTTATTTATAAACATAATATTTTAAATCTAGCGACCACAAGCATGTCACCTTTTGAAATGCAAATGTTTATGATAATTCTCGGAATTATTACCAACAAGCATTTATATTTTCTGAAATGAAAATCTGGAAAAACAAACTGTGAAAAAATTAACTACTTGTAGTATTTTTCGCTTTTCTCGAAGAAACGGTAAACGGACCTCATGCTAGTTAATTCCCACGCCCCTGATGGGTAGGGTGTGAAAATATTCGTCTCGGGATAAAAGTTGTAACTTCTACTCCCCTTGGTGCCAATAATGTTACAAGTATGCGTCTTGTCGGTTGGAAACCCCGTTGACTATTTCGATGAGAAATGTTTGAACAATGACACACCAATAAATTTTCGAAGTATTTGGACGTTGCACCTTACTTGACAATCTTTGCGGTTTCTTTTTGTGTTTCATGACATGTACAGCCAGAACTAATATGTTTTTTCACTCCTTTGTTCATTCAGCAATACTGCAGCCGTAGCGGGAGCCGTAGCCGTGGAGGATACGACCTGAGCAAAAAGAAATTAATTTCTGAACCTTATGGGCGGGATTACATAGATAATTTTTCAGAACAGCCGCTTAATTTTGGTCTTTCCTCGTAGGCATGCACTGCACCGAACACCCAACAGAGTTGCGGGTTTGGTTGGACTTCTATCTGTTAAAATTCCCAACCCCCGGGGCTGGGAAATCACTACTGTGTCACTTTTAAAGTTCCCACTGTAAAATAGTGCCTTATTTTCTCTTCACTTAGATGGAGAGTATTGCTTGAAGAATGTATGTATCATAGCCAGAATAAATGTTTATGCTTGTAAGAAGCTCGTCAGTTATGTACGAAACACTGTGAAGAATGCTCCACCTACCACGGAGCCGGTGAGAATCAATTGCGTAACCCTCTTGTATCGCTGTGATTACATGCGGGCAATCTGTTTATATGCAGCTATTTAAAACAGCATTCAGATATTACATCAGGCAGGTTATCTTGTAGTAGGTCATGGCTTGTGTTTATTCACGGGCTTGATAAACTGTAGATATCTGCAACCAGAAGGACGCGGTGTTTGTTTTCTGTGTGAATAGAACATAAAGATATCATGTAGAGAGCTGCCCGCAAACAAGATGGTAATCTACCAACGTTTCTTTGAAAATTCGGGATAAATTAACCAGACGCGTTTTGTGGTTTATGTTGGCCACTGATATCAGCATGATGTGAAGTCGTCGTGTTGAAGTCTGCTCAGTCGCCAACTCACCGACCACCCACACCTTAGAACTGTGCACCGGAAGTGAGCCTAAAACACTTTTTTTTTTCCTGCACAGACATCATGAATACAAGAACCTTACTTATTATGTATGAATGGCAGAAATAAAAAGCCGAAGTCTTAACATTGACTTGCATTTTAAGTCTGACAAATGCTAGGCAGAGAACAGATTCCATACAAGTTTCGTTGTAATAAGATTGCGTTACCTTGTCACACAATCTAGACAGCTTTTTACAGTTTACGTTTCCAAGGTTTTATCAAAATAAATTAAGTTTTTCTACCAATTGTTCAATAGTTTTCTTTTTCAATAGTATCTCCAAGGTTTTATCAAAACGAATTAAGTTTTTACACCAATTGTCCGATAGTTTTCTTTTTCAAAAGCGATACTATAATAACAATTTTCTACCCGCAACTGATATCAAACATCCGACTATAAACAAACAATTTTAACGTGGCGGAAAAATGGCTTCCCGCACCCTTCCTTTGGTCAGAAAACAGGAAAAATTGACAACGAGCACCAGCTGAGCCAGGTTTAAAACCATTTAGACAAATCGGATTTCACTCAGTGCGCAGGATGATCTGCAATCTGTAATGCAGTATATGACCAGGCCAGTCGATTGTCTCTGTCATCGAGTCCTGAGCGAGTTATAGCGCAGCATGCCGGTTTTATTAGACAGACAGACAAGCGGGTTCCTCTTGACAATCTTCAGTAGAAGATTTCAACCAGATATGAACCAGCGAGGGTAAGAATCAAGTGGTTTTATAAACTTTCAAGTATCATTGTACGCACGCACAATGATGCTTCAGGCGCTAGACTCGAGCCACGCGTATTAAAATAAAAGGCACGCACGTCATGATCCATGATATTCTTGGAAAACCGGAAATATGTAAGTGCAGTGGAATGCACTGCATACTTCCTTGATTCGTGATATCGATATTTTCCCACGGTCTTACACAAAGAGGATAAGATTGCTCATATTCGCTCAACCCAAAAATTTGACCTCCATTTGTATTGAAGTCACATCGGCTAAAATATTTTCACGTTTACTGTTAAGCAATAAAATGAGCACTCGGCTAGAGGATTTGGATTATGGAAACAAAAATATTATGAAAATTAATTCTTCTAAACAAATAACAAAGGATTTTATTTTAACTTGCCTTGCAAGATCAGTACCCGGCTTGTGAAGGATCTAAGCGTCAAGAAAGGTATTCCAAGCGATCTAAAAATATGCGACGTTTCCACCCCCAGGAGGTTTATTTGTGCACCAGAAAGAACGCTCGCCTCATGCCTCAATCACCTTGCGCGTTCAGCGTATCTTGTTACACTTTTTGCCCTCAAACAAAGCGAAGCTGACGCAGTTCGTAGATATTTATAAACTAAACGAACAGTGACCAATTTTTTGTTTTTAATGTTTAAGTTTAAGTTGACTTGCATCCAACAATTTATCATAATCATATAGTTATAAGACGCCAAGAAACCGTTCATTCATTTTGGAAACAGCCATCTCAAGGCGTCTCCGGAATTTCGGCGAGTTTACAAAGCGGGTTTAGACAATCCTAAGTTGTGATCTTTAATATCTGTTTGCTTGCAAAGCAAACGAGTGTTTACACAGCATTTTCCTAGAAAGACTGAGAGTTCAACTCTCAGTACAGTGATACAAGCCTACCCTTGCGAAATACAAAGTCACCCTTAAACGTTAACATTAAATATAAATCATAAGATTTACTACTCATAAGAGGAACGATTGGTGAGAAGCATTCATCGTAACAGGGTTTTCCACTAAATACAAACAACACTCTAATCATATTTTCAAAACGTTGTGGCTCAAATTACTAAACTTTCAACGGAGTTTAAACTTTCCAAATTTCACCAAAGCCGAAAACGGCCAACCAGTGTTTTACACAGTAAAAATGGGTATCAAGACTATTCTGTTTGAAACTTAACAAAGCATAACATAGCTAACATTCCTTTTGTCTCTGATCAAGCAACTACTGTCCATGAGGACTTTGAAACCTTATCTAGCTCTACAATGACGTTAATTTATGGAAATCTATCCGCGTTTTTCCCGCGCGTTGACGCAATTTATGCAAATTATATCCATTGATTGAAAATATCACGGTCAAAAATAGCACTTATCAACAGCAAAGCTATGATCTCAATGGAAAACAGTTACTTTCGAAGAAGAAAAATCCTTCTTTCTTTCACCGTTTTCGAATCGGAAGTAATTTGGCGTTGAGACAACGCAAAAATTTCTCACCTTCAGTGTGAATGATTATTCGTTTCTACGGTGCGGAAGCGCTACAAGCGGTATAAGATACACATTTGCGATCAGACAAGTAATTTAAACCAATATTGGTCCGAAATTTCTAAACAGCGACTAACCTACGCTTTCTTTGCAAAAACATATTCTTTGCTATTTATATATATACTTATAGCTATAGGTTATATACAGTCTTAGTAAAGTTAGTAAAAGGCGAATGAAAATAGCGCAGAGTAAACAATAAGTTATTTTCGCTTTTGTCCAAGCGCATAAAATCGGTCTAATAGTTCTTGGTTTTTCCTGCGTTCTTTGTCAAGTTCTGCAAGCAATCGAATTTCGTCCTTTTTCAGTCTATCGACGCAATCCTTCGCTTTTCTCAGGATTGTAACCTTGGGAGCTCGTTCATTGTCTTTTATTTCTGGAACCTCCTCTCGGAGAATGTGAAAGCTTGTCTTCAGATCATTCCTTCGTTTCCGTTCAAGTACATTATGAGTAGCTCTTTTACTCACGTCTCCCTCTTCGTCTGAAGTTGAGCTATTTTGTCGTTTAAAATCTTTTCTGCTTTCTTTTGTTGGACTTGTAGCCGACACAGCCGCTTTCGGTTTCATCGCCACCGGTTTAAAACGTTTTGCCGGCGGTTCATCAGTAACTTGCGGCAAACGCTTTCGCTTGGGTTTCTCGATAGTGACAACGTCGATTTCTTCTTCTGTTGGACAGTTGAATAAAAAAAAATAATATTTAGACCGATGGCAAAAGAAAATCAAATCACTTAGACAAAATTATAATCGATTGCACAGGACTGCAGGAAATCATTACTTTTGGAAAAATAATCAAGCTTATAGCTTAACTTTGATTTTCAACTTAACTGTTAACAGGAAATTGGTTGGAGTATGAATGACAGACTCGCTCACTTACCTGAATCGCTTGAAGTATGAGATCCACATAAGTTTTGATGTGATTCGTTTATAGGGTAGGGAAATACTGTTGCTGGATCCACACAATCGGAGCTTACATATTCAACTGGCGGCGGAGTTGAACAAGGAGTCTCGTAAATATCATCAGTGTTCACAAGGACTTTAATATCCAGCGTACTTTCGTAGTTTGAACGAATACCGTTTGAACCGTTCCACATACAATCTTGAATGAGTTTCGACTTCAAACTGCACAGAGAGAATTCCACAGTGGCCAGGGGTGCAGGCGAACAGCTATCCTCGTCTAGTTTCTCGGTCACAATTTGTAGGGTATCAGCAACTGAGCAGTAGCTACCTTCGAATGAATCGAAGTCGACCGGCGAATGTGGAGGCGATCGAGAGGGAGAGCGGGGAGGTGTTGGAAGAAGTTCAAACTTTTTCCATATATCATGAGTTGGGACTGGTGTACTGTATCCTTCACTTTCGTTCTCGTCTTTTTCTGAGTGAAAGAAGTATGTCGCGTCCGGGTCGTTTTCCAGCGCAAATGGTTTGCACAAGGATCCGACTTGAACAGCCATTCTACAACAAGACAGAAGCGGAAATAAGCTCACATTCAACATACTACAACTAATCTACAAACGATTACATCACAAATTACCTTCCCTTTTACGCTAACCATATATTTTGAAGATATCAAACTTTTAATACATTAGAACTAGAAACTTAGAGCTGCTCGAATGTTTTTTTCAGAGAGATTAACTCGCCATTTAAATCGCAAATTAAAGTTCTGCAAAGAGCGAATGAATGAATGAATGAACTTGGGACGGTGCAAAGCTCCAAACTTCGAACACTAAATCGAGACGCCTTTTGGCCTCTTTACCTTATGAAATTCTGGGAGACTGCAGTTCTGCAGTTTAAGTGCCTGGAGGATTCCTCTGGAGGTCTTCCAACGGCAACTAGCCCGAATTTCTGCGGCTGAAGAAAAGAACGGGGCGTACGCGGAAAGCAAATTTCAATTCTCCTGCGAAATTCATGTGAATATATTAACAAAAATCTGTACCAATCAAAAAGCGAGGCTAATTAACGTTGCTATAACAACGTCACGCGTACACGTGATTATTCCTTGCCGAGCGAGCTGCAGGCGTGAAATTTACTGTAAAAAGGCCACTTTTCGAAGGTATTTGTTCCGCTTTCAAAATTGCTGAGCCTGATTAACAGGAATAATGAGAACAGGTTCAGCTAGCAAGGCTTATTTTGTAGTTTTCCGTTTTCAGTAGAAAGAACGATGTCTTGTTTATGATTTTTAACGGCTTTCAAAACTCTCCCCTGGGCCATGGACCATAAACAAAAGAATCACACTTTCTGATCGATGCCTAATTTACAACTTTATTGTGGACTAATGCCAAGAAAATATTTCCTAATACTTTGCCAATGTTTAGAGATGAAAGTTTTCCCTTAAAAAAATTGCCTCCAAGGAAAGCGCAAGGCAGACAAACAGGAGACCATTAGCCATTTTATTCGGCTTTTATAACCTCGAAAACAATTTGTTCGCGAACAAATACTTAAAACTACAGCTGGCGAGACGGCAGGTTATGTTCAAGTTATTGAGACCAAGGATTAAACCATGGCTATCAAAAGAATAGCCTATTTTTTCTCTCCAGTCAACCGGAAACCACCTTTATCGATAAGAAAAGCCAAACCAAAATAAGCCAAATGCTTTCGGAGAAATAGCATCTAGATTTCAAGTCTGCTCTCTTAAATGTTGATATTATTAACTATTTGGTTTTAACAAGATGCTTGTCATTCCATGTGCACTAGTTCGATAGAATAGCCGAGGTTTGAAATTAACAATAAATTGTACTGATCCAGTAATTACACGAAGATTTAGTGTATGGAGACAATAGGTGCAAAAAGGATTTAGGGCGAAGTGCTTCCCGCATTACTTTTAACAGCGATGCAATTATCAACTCAGATATTCCACTCAAAATATTTATTTCTTGGATTCTCCTGCCTCAACGCGCTTCTGAGTCCACCGGAAGTTACCACCCAAGGACATTTTCCCGCGAAAGCAGTTCATATGACTGACACACGGTGACAGGGTCGGGATTTTGACTATAACAAACAAAAATCACCCAACGTAATTGAATGGAAGAAAAAAGTAAGGTCAAATGGGTTATCTAAACTATATTCACTGGTAACCAAGCATGTAATAAACGAAAGCGAATTATGCCCGCCGAAAAATACATAGCGCAGCTACCAGTGGCTTTTGACAGAGAAAAATCACAACTTGTTTTACATTGTAGTTTCGGAATAACAAGCTGACCTTGACAGTTATCACGCTAGCTTTTGTTTGACGTGCGATGAGTTTGTTATTCAAAAGTCTTTTTATCCCAAATGCGACCTAAAATTTCAGACTTGTCAATACAGCGAGGCCACCCACGGCCTTCTTCTGGACAACATGATAAGCTCTTGTTTGTGTTTACACTTCAATCAGCGCGGAGGAAAGCATGAAAAACCGCGAGTAATGGAACTTTTCCTGTTTTACGCTTTTTTGACACCAAGTGCACAAAGAAATGCTTGTTTGCAGGCAACGACTTGATGTATTCAATTAAGTGGTACCCTTAGTCTTGCGAAATACACGCAGAGTAATATTGCTCAACTTAACTTGAGTACAAGGTTCAAATTGTTTTACAAATCAAAAATTTGATAGTCTCCACTCAGGTGATAATCAATATAACAAAAGTAATTTGCAGCAGGTTATGTACTTGTACAGCATTACAACATGCTATAAATATTATGTTTTGATGGCAATACAAGCCGGCTCGTTTACAGTTTGTGATATTGTGGGTATACTTTAAATAAACGCCAAAAATAAGTCTTCCTTGTTGATTCATACTAGTAGAAGGCTTTTACGAAAACACTTGGGTCTGAAACATTCTTAGCAAACAAAGACAGCTTTACTCGTTGTCAGTTATAACATCTTCTATAGTTTCTTCTTACGTTCCCCTCAAAATTTTTTCGTGACAATTCCGTTTGCTAAAGAAATCGTTTAAAGTTTTTTTCTTTTCCCTTAGTTTTTCTTGATCTTCGCCCCTGGAATTGCGAATGTAAAGGATTAAATATTTTGCAATGAGACAAAATAAAACATGACTTAAGTAATCTGCAATGTAGAAAAAGAAACCTTTTTGGCGCAGCCTGCGTTTTTTCACGTCACAAAAAGCGGAACGCTACTGAAACGAACTCAAGATGCTGACAGGAAACGCGGCCAAAAAATTGTGACAAAAGCAGGCGCATCAAAAAATACGATAGGAAATTTAATTTTCGAAAAAATCTGCGACAATTACAATTTATACTTAGATCGTAAATTCCTAAACGCAAACAAATAAAATCACAATGGCAAGTTAGATGAACTATTACAAATAACAAAAATCACATTGGTGAAAACTTCCGACGGGATAAACAGCTTTACGATTTTACCACAAGATTTTGACGTGCAGCTGAGGACGGTGAGTTTTGCGCTTGCCATATAACATTCTCTCGTTTCCTTGTGCTGTTTTCTCTCACACGGAACGGTACAAAAGGTCACGTTTTTAAAAAAACAGGTCTCGGCAATGTTATCTTCTGGATTGGTCTAAATTGTGCTTGTGTTAAATTCACATCAGTGAGCCTGAATGAAGACATAACTAAGAAGCATTCTATTCTCACCGCGTTTCACTTCATCTTTGGAATTACAACAACAATATTGAACAACAGTGCAGTTCAACAGCTTTCCAACAGTTTTCTGTTTTTCCTTTGTAATTTCAAATCTTGCCAATGCATATTTTGGTTGCGTGCAAGCTGTGAGAAACATTTAGCCGCTCGGTAGCTTTCTTATCAAAACTTGACCTCTGCTGTCATGTAGAGCCCTTGAAAGAAGCGAACTCATATATTTATAAATACCTACTCTTGAAGATAACATTCTTCAGCGACCAATCATCGCCAATAAAGGAGCGTAACTAGTCATGTATGTTCTCTTATGTCGATGATTTATTTCAGCGAGTCTGTGTGTGTTAACAGTCACAGGGCGTTTTGCCTTTGCATGTGTGTCGAATGAATCTGTACCATGACCCCCAGGGATGCATTGAAAACGGCCAATCTTGTAATACAGCGCTGCATGTAGAACATCCGTTTTCTACATGACCGAATTTCCCGCCATACGGTATGTCTGTCCGAGCATGACAGTTCTAGAAAGCCGAATTCAATTAATCACTTGAAAACAAGTACTTGGCAGGGACACATTGGCGGCAGGCCGGCAGGTTATTCATTGCAGTGACTGACTGTAGTTCCTGAGCCTTTGTCGAGAGGAGTCACAGCGTACCGCTTCCTACGTCATCAGTACTGTTTGCTGTAGTTTATTAGCAACGACAAAAGGTCTAATATCTGAAGTACTATAATCGACTAATCTACCAATACCCCAAGCATTAATCTTAATCAAGAAAGTCGTGAACAATTAAACAACAGGGTTTTGCCTCGCTTAGTTAATAAACCGTGAAACACTCATGACTTAGAAGGATCGACACGCTTGAGAAATTTCCTGAGTGTAAGATAGAAACACACGGTAAAAATAGTACCTCAAGCTTTACACGTGCGCATAGTTTCCGCTAATAACTTCAATGGTGTTCATTATGAGAATGTGTATATTGCTCTCCATAAAAAGAATATTCCAAAGAACAGTAAAACGGAAATAACTGAGCTATATCGAAGCTGATATGTGTTTTATCTAAACCCACACACTGATCATTCTATCAGTTTTATTTTCCCTCATTTCCCGCCTTTAAAAAATTTGCGGTTAAAACGTGACAGTCATGCTGCTACGATTTCCGGCCAATAAAGAAAGGAACGAACAAACGAAATTCCTATTTAAAAAAAAAAGATTTCAAAGATTACGATCCGTAAGGATTACGTGAGTTGCAAGAACAACATACAATACTGAATTTTTTTCGCGCCCTTATTCATGGTTGTTTAGTTGAATTAGACTGGAGTAAACAATACTCGTTACATTAAAAAACAAAATATAACAAACCATAGCTGCAAAATTAAACGTTTTTACTCCAGGCTTGATGGATACAGTATCTAATATATCCTAACTGATGATTTTATTTGCTTCTCCTTACTCACGGTCTCCTTGACAATGTGGCATGTTGATCAGTTGAAATGAGAAGTTACAAGTTAATCATTCTTGGTGATTAAAAAAGTTTTTGTTTGAAAACTTAGCTAGTAAAAACAAGTTTTCTCAGTGATTGAAGGTTTACATGAAACAAACTACTGGCATTTAGCACTTATTTGCAGAAATGCCAGAAATTTTGAATGATTTAAAAATAAAACACAAATAGAGATGATAAACAATGTACCTCAAGGTTTTTTTTGTTTTTTTTTTTTAATTGACCCGAACATTTACGTTTTCAATGATTTCTTCTTTTTCCTCTTGTTTTATTTTCATTTCTGGCCGTAAATCAAACATAATATGATCAAAGTTTAATTCTGTATGAGAAGAAAATGAATCAAAACTCGCTTACGTGATCCCGTACCGCAAACATTTCTCACATAGAAACTGAAAAAAAAAATCTACCTTTGGGCCGGTACAAGGATCAGATTAATCAAAGTGTGAAGTTGGGGGGCTATTTTCCCTCAAATTTCACATACTTTTATATAGTTATATGAAAGAGAAAAGTCATTTACCTTCATTAAGTTGATGTGGTTGTAGTCCAAGATGCCAACCAACTGATTCCTTGCATGCAGCAGGACGGCTGTGATATAAGTTGTGGTAGGGTTTGACACACGAAACGAAATGACTGTATTGTTACTGTCAATCAAAGAGCTCTTTGTCATGGTTCAACTGTTACTGATAACCGTGATAAACACCTCTTCCTCTATTTATTTTCTTAATCCGCGTGGGTCACAACCAATATCCGCGCTATACTTTGTCGGCTTGGAACAGGTTTGAACAACACTTCGTAGTTTTTTTCTGCCTGCTGCGATGATCAGTCGTGGCACGCAGGATCATGCTTCTCTCAGCAGTCCTCGGTATGGAGGTTCCCTTGAAATCTTTTAAGAAATCTGGGCGGGATGCCTGTGTGTTAACAATATTAAAAAGCAAACAGTCATTTTAACCAATTATTGGAGAAACTGAAAAGAAAACGCACTTAACATTCACATTCCAAAACGACACGTAACAGTCAGATTTGCTAAAAACGAAAGACACATGTCTTGAATTGTTGAAATGAACTGTGTTCATGTGACGGGTCCGGAGTTTGCTCAATCACACACTTCTTCAACTTGTCGGGCGCCTGTTTTGACTTCGTGAAATTGCGTGCAAACCGTATATTTATTGGTTTTCATTCACCATCTTGACTTGTCAGTTTGGTGGATTGGATTGTTTGAATTAAAACTCTGTTTGCGTAACTTTGTTTTGTCTTGAGCTTTTAAAACGCCTGTGTTTAAAAAGGAATTTCAAACACAAACATGACGTCACGTATCCGTCTGGGACTGGGATAATCACGATAATTAACTCCTTCACTTTCGAACCAACATCGAAACTTCACTTTCGCACCAATCTAGTGCCTCCTTAGTTTCGAAACAAAAAACTTAAGCCCTGTGCGAGAAGATGGCTAAGTTAAGCTATTGAGTAGCCCTAAATTGATATTTGCTCAAGTTCAAAGAAACCGGTTAATTAATTAGACTGTGACGAACTCGAATCACGAAAATGTGAAACTTGTTGGCTCAAGGGGTTAGTTTTCAACTAATCATCGCATCTTTTTTTTGCATTTAATGTGTTAATCACATAAGAATTTAAAAGGTTTTTAATCGTATGAGAAAAAATAAAGATTTTAGTCACCTTTTTCAGTGAGAGCCGCTTTCTACTTTTTATTTTCGAGGCAATCGATGTATAGTTCTTGTTTTGTTTGTCCATGTTGTTTCCTTTTACATGTCGTTTTAGTTTCATACCGGAAGTTTCCTGCGTACATAGTAAACCGGAAGTCACTTGCAAATATTGAAGTAAGTGTTTTTTTCATTGTAGACTTTTTCCTTTTATCGGTGGCTGCCAAGATCACTTTCCGCTCCCTGGACGGCCAAGGGAAGTTTTCTACAGAAATTAAAGCTTTAATTTCTTATTTGCAAAAAAATGACAAAAGCACATGTCATGGTATAAGTTGTCTACATAGCTTGCGAGATAATTCGAAAAACGGACGGAAATAGACAGCTTCTTTAGGGGGCGTGAATTTTACTCGTTAAGTTAGGAGTGACTAGGAAAATATTAAACACCACAATCATGTTGTTCGCCTTCTGTTAAATGGGTTATTTCTTTCGAAAGTTAAAATTACCTTATTCAGATCGGTTAAACTTTCATACATCAGACTATTTTAAAACGTTCATTTGGTTGCTCTCTTTATATCCAGTGTGGCAGGCATAAGAAGGAAAGGAGGGCAGAAGGGCAAATAATCCCGTGTCCCGTATTTACAGTATCTGTTTCGTTTCATCCTTTTAGACTCCAACCCTTGTCGAGAGCTATCTTTGACACTTAGGCATCGTGTTTGACGCAGATATTAGAATGTGACCTAGGCATCTGAAAAAAATATTAGTTGCAACCAACGGTCGTGGTCGCAACTCAAACAACCACCTCGTTGTCAGGATCTCTCTTCTCTCCGCCCCCTAGGCCCTGGAGCAAGAGAGACCCTGTGAACGAGGTGCATTTCTCGCCCAATAGCCCTTTTCGCTTCTCTTAATTAGCCGGCGGTTCCTCGTGCTAAGGCCCCGCCGGCTGAGAGAAGCGAAAAGGGCTATGGGACGAGAATGGATGTAACCCAACCTAGTTTTTGAGTCGAAAACGTCAACAGTTAAGTTTGGGCGGCAAGATATAAAAAAATTATGAGAAAGTTAACACATCAGCTTACCATGTTCCCTCTAAGCACATGGTTCACCAACTGGCTTATAAAAAACTTAAACTAAAACTGCTATCATTACTGCTATCACATTCTGGGTCTGTTATGCACTTTATTATTAAAAGAAAACGACTAAACCTGACCGCATTCAATCTTGTCCCCAGAGCACGCTTTCTGGTCAGTACCAAAAATGCGGAATACGGCGAAGGTAATCAGCCAATCAGCTTCCTGCGAAAACTATTGGAAGTCCGGAATCAGGGAAACTGGACTTCGTTCGACTTGGTGCTGACCAAAACAGAAGCGGGGTCCTGGGACGAGTTTGAACAAAGGATTTCGTTCCCAATCCCTAGTTTAAAAATGTTGACTGTGTGCGGACGTCTGCTACTGCACGCGAACTATGCAAGATGACGTTTGCGTGATTTGCCAAATCCTTCCTACGTCAACAGGGAGACTAGAAACTTCTCTACCATTCCACGGAAGAGAGACCTCGAACAGGTCAACTAGTGAGTGTAAGCAACGTCTGTCGTCATTTGTAAGCATTTCCGAGCTTCATCACCCCAGTTTAGTCAATGCAATCTAAACAATACCACGGTTCAATAGAGAAAATGCCAATTTGTACCAATCATCCGTTCTTGTATCCCACGACAAAACTAGAATCCCCATCCTGAATCTATAAGCGACTCTTCCACCTCTGTCCATTCCCCTCTTTGTAATATTCCAACCCGTGGAAGGACCGCACATGGCGAAGCTATGGCCGTCACTTTAACAAAATGGTTCCATGTTTCCATGTGCAAAACGTCAAAATATGGTAAGAACGCAAAAGTGGTACACGAGTCACTGATGTTCTTACCACATTTTTCACGTCTTTTGTGATCTATTACCGAACAGCCCCACGGCAACGTGGAATCTATGTTTTATATAGTAAAGAAATAAAACCCAATGTTAATGACGTCATCTAGGTGTCTGTCCTCTAATTGATCATAGGTGAGAACCAATCAAATGCAAGAATCATTTGACTTATTATATAGAAAGCAATGAATACTTTTGCCTAGTGAACAAACAAGCAGTCAATAGCATTTGCGTTTTAGTTCACACAGTTTTGCAGGAGAAACCAGTTTCATAAAAGGGCTATTTTAGATACAATTTCATTGGCCTACAGGATACAAAACTAAATTAATAGTGCACTTATTTCACAGGAGAAATGTTGAACAAAATATACTCGCATTTCATACAAAAATTCACAGATCTTAATTAAAACAATTGAAAGTCTACTTATTCATATTCTAAATATTATAGAGGCATTTCTAGATACTATCTAATGGTAACAAATCCGGAATCTAATGGTGTAAACCATTTTATAACTCTGTACACAAGGCTTTCATTTGACTTTGCATGTGACCTGTGCCTTTTGATTTTGACTTGCTTGAGTGGTCTTATAATTACTTTCATGAATGAAAAACGGAGTTATTCACACTGACCAATCACGGGAGGCTTAAAAGAACAACGACCCAATCAGCTTGAAGTTAAGACAAGCAACAGTTCTCAGACGCGGCAACGGTGTCAAACGCGGGAAAACGCAAGTGAGAGTAACAAGAAGTGGTTTTGGTTTGGCTAGGAAAAATAGCTTGAACGGAATTCTTGAGTTCTTAATTTAATGTACTCAGAAGTTAAAAAACAAAACCAAACCAAACGCGGTGAGTTCGTTAAAAAAATGACAGTGTCCCTTTAAATATAAGTAATATTTTGAAGACAAACGAAATAAAATTACGATTATTTACAAAATCAAATGAAAGCCCTAGTTAAGCTGGAATTGAATCGCTTTCCGTATTCACTGCCTGGAAATTATTTTTACACAAAGATACGAGTTATAAACAACGAAACAAGCGGTCATAAAGGTTTTCATATTTAAATACCGCTGTTTTCTTACATCTAGGAAACCTGGATAAAACACAGCTTTTGTCGAAGGCCGCCAAAGAAAGCCTAGACAACCTGGTATCAGTCATTATCTGAGTTAACGTAGGCAGTCATCTTATATGACGTCAGTGCGCGTCACAAAATGGCGGCCGCAGGACTACGCTGTGTAAGACTGAAATACCAAGTGGAAATGCAAGGTAAAAGATTGTCTACGTTTACAACACAACAGACTTTACCCTTGACACTCAATGAAAAATTTTGATCTGAAATTTTTAAAGTGCACTTTTCTGACAATTTTCCGCTGGTTTTGTCAAACTTCTCAGCCAATGTACCGGTGAATCTTTGCGCATGTAAACTGTGAGCTGGCAGTAACTTTGATGGCCCCCTTGCAAACCCAACCCCCTGCCAAACCCTCTTTAAGCCGGAAGATAATAACTTGTTAAAAAAAAAACTGAAATACTCAAAACTTAAACGAAGACCAAAACCTTCAGAGTTGCTCTTGGGCTGCGTTCACCGAGTGAATCTAAAGCTCCAGAACTAGAATGTACGTTCCATTTTTTCTAGAGAAATGCTTTCGTATTATTTAGAATCTTGGCGTCCATGGATCATTTTTTTTTTTTAACTGAATTAATCCTAAGTTTCCTTGAGGCGAAGTGCTTTATACAAGAAGGCCTTTGATGTTCTTTGGCGTCGTTTCGTCGTTTAAGTGTTTTGTGCTATACCTGGAATTACAAAAAAGGCAATCAGCACTGTTATACATTTTATCCTGTTCAAGTTGATAATGAACTGTTCAACAAATTCCGAGAGCCTAAATTCTCAATAAACCAAACAATTATGTTTGTTCTAATTGTCCAATCACAAGTGATTCCCATTTTTTCGCGCCTTCCAATGGCGCGAAAACTGTAAGAGCCGATTCGTCGTTAGCGCGGTTTTCATTTGAGTGTCGAAGAGTAATTGGTTTTCCATCACTAGCGGTGCACGATTGACTTCAAAAACTCGCGCTTCTTTTTCGTCCAGTTAAGAGTAAAACCAAAACCAACTGTGACTCGATCACTCATTTACCCGCGTGTCGGGTCAGTCACATGTAATTACTAGAAGTTTTGATTGGTTTACTGTATTGTCTGTGTTCTTTGTGATTCGCTAGAGTAATAACTTTGGTTTTGACTTTATGACACTCAATTGAGAACCGCTCAATGACATACTTGAAAACCGTTCTTTCACGGGACTAGACTGGAAGAAGTGGAAACGTTTCTACGTATCTGATTAAAGAGAAGTTCTTATTTCTTCTTAACTCTGCACATTGTTAGCTCACCTTAAAGCATTAAGAAGACCGTCTACAGAACCTTGAGGTTGATCTTTTAACACTTTTATTGACGCTTTTATCTACGAAATAATAAAAATCTCATCGTAAATTAAACCCAATTAATATTTTACAACGTTTTGGTAACAAGAGCAAAAAATAATCATACATCGTATTCCTTACGCCCGTGGGGGGGGNGAGGGGAAAGCACATGGCTGGGGGAGGGGGTGGCTGTAGCGAGTGACCCACATTAACTTCCCAACCCCTTTCTTCTTTCCGTCCTCGATTTCATGCAAAATAATTTCGTTTATTTGTCTGCTTTCAGTTTGTGTTGACTTCAAGCAAGGAGCCACTTTGTCCGAGATATCTTTCGCCTAAACTTTGCCAAGAAATCGCTCTCGAACCCAATAGGTCCACCAGTGCCTACTGAATAAGCAGGGTTTCCTTTGCAACAAAGCTAGAGGGATGCTTGAGAAAACGTGGCCGAGCTAGAGGAGAACTGGTGAACACCAAGACCAAAGCAGAAGGGAACTGGAAACCACTAAATTAAAGGTAACAAAAAATGACTGTTATGTAGCCGTTAGGTAAGCACTTACATCTATATTTGATGTTTTAGCGAATGCTCCTACCGGATGTACGTGATCATAGAGAATTATAAGACCAACCTGAAAAAAAAAATATATATATATATATATATATATCATAAAATCTAAATACTGACTGAATCGTGGAATAAACCAGTACAACCACAAGGTTATTGCATATTCTTGATCAGAAAATTTTCAACAGTTACTCGAGCTAGATGGAAGCTTTACAGTACACGTGCAAGTGACTTGAACCAACTTACCATTACTCGAAGACAAAAGAGATATGTTTCTTGGTTTGCAACTCTAGCAGAGAATTCCCTGCAAATGAAAAAAAACAAAAAATGTAATGGAAACGAGAAACAACACAGCTCCATCACAATGCGTCAGGACCAGGAGCCCATGGTGATGGGCTCCTGGTCAGGACTTACGCCTCCACTGAATCAACAAGCAACCAGAAGATTTTGCGAGAAAAAAAATTCAAGGCACTGTACATGAAGGTCAAAGCTGTGAGTTACCAGGCCATTGCACCCACTATTCCCATTGTTTTTGTTTTAGCAGGCAGTGTATCACTGTAATGTAACAGGTTTTTCTCACTATGAACAAAACTCCTTGACTAAGTAAGATGGGAGAGTGGTTAGAAAGATGTTTCGATTGGTTTGGCGTTTTCCTGTAGCGGAGCTCCGCCAAGCGGAGCCCCATACTCATATAGAAAAGAAAAGGAAACCCATGAGTTGATTTTCTCATGGTTATCATGGCTAGCGGTATTGCTTGTGGGTGCTACGCACGACGGCGACGACGACGACGACGGAGTCGCGCAACATAGCCGCCATACTCCAAATAGTAGGCTGGCAGAGACCTGCAGCCTTGGTTTACCGTGCACCTCTTAGATATTGGACATCCATGTTATGATCAATTGACACCTGTCGAAACAAGGTATCCGCTTACCAGTATCACGTGACCATATTGCGTCTCAAGTTTAGGGCTCATCGAGGTCACGTGTTTTTTTGAAGTTGACCGAGGACCAAGTGCTGGTTTTCGATTGGATCGCGGGTTCATGTTAGGTTAACTTGTTGAAAACGGGGCCAGGTTGTTTAGAAGCCGGTTAACGCTAACCCAGGATTAAAAGTTAACTGAATTATAACTTTGTCCTCTATACAAATGTTTTTCGCTGCTTTGTTTTGTGTATATTGTGATTATTAAAACTCAATACAGAAGGCCAAACAATATACAGAAAACCTCATCGCAAAGTTACAAATCTCAAATCAAAATTCTACTTTATCCTGGGTTAGCTTACTGCGCCTTTCAATAACATGCGAACTCTAAAATTCGAAGCTCAACCGACTAATACGTTTTTCGCTACCGTCAATCAAATGTTCGGTAGCTCCTCCCAGTTTCCGACTACTGCTGAGCGCGTGGTAATCAAATCGCTGAGCACTTGAGCTGAGCACAGTTCAGATAACGAAACAGTGCTCGGCAGGAGTCGGAAGCTGGGAGGAGCCACCGAACATTTGATTGGCGGTAGCGAAAAACGCATTTGTCGGTTGAGCTTTGAATTTTAGAGTCCGCATGTTATTGAAAGGTGCAGTAATCGGGCTCTGAACAACGCGGCCCAGGAGCTACGCTTTTAGGCTGGCCTACATCTACATATCATTTGCCTACTTGAGCGAAGGTGGGTGCTGTATTCAGAGTACACTGGTGCCGCTCCTGGGGTATGGCTTCTAATAAAACCCCTGAATGACATTTCTCTGAGTAAGGAAAGACTGCTGCACATAGTCAACAACACGAACCTACAGCAGCCTCATTATCTACACTGTACAAAGTCTCTAACTTTCTCCTCACTTAAACAAGAAATTTGACATTTCCTGACAAGTACATGTACTCACAAAACCTGACCTACATTGTAATAAACTAAGAATTTCCACTTCTGAATACCTTGACTAATTAAGGACCAAAAATACCAAAACCATAATATAGTACTTACGGATTTTCTATCATAGTTCTGCATAAATTTGCTAAAGTGCTAAGACAATCTGTTGTATTTTCTATTGGAAGGCTTTTGTTCTGAAAGTGAGAAACGAGAAATAAATTAACGTAGTGATCAATTCAAAATATTGATTCACCTTACGACACTCATATGCATAATGATCACTTTAGGCTGTGACATAACGAATGAAAGAACGTCACATTAGCTGTGTGGAGGTCATGCCAAGTCATGTCACGCCAATCACACCATGTCCTGTCTCGTCATGTCATGCCATGTCACGTCGTGTCACGTCACGTCAGACTATGCCACGTCATAGCAGGCCAATTTAAGGTAACTAACTGGTCTCGAACTGTACCTGTGGAGATGATTTTCATTCACATCAGGCAAACAACATAAAACAAAATTCTATTACCTCTGTTACAAACTTTGATGTGGCATCGCTAAGAGTTTTTAAAAGAGGTGTGGGGTAGGCATAAAATAAAGACATCCTGTTCGCCATTTCGTTTGACACTTGAATTCCTTCGTTATCGTCATCCTGCAAAAAAGATATATAGAAACAAATCAACAAGGTTGTTGAATGGACTGTTTTTTATAGACAACGAAATATTTAGACATCACTTGGAACAATGTGAATTCATAAAAATTTTAAATATTAAATATAAGAAATTTTTCATGCGGGTCCTCTATCGGGTCCTCTATCCTGGTCGAATTGGAATTTGGAGATGTTGGTTTTTGTGAATGAAGGCAAACTGGAGAACCTGGCGAAAAACCCTCAGAGCAAGGCAAGGACCAACCACAAACTCAACCCACAAATGGCACCAGAATGGAATCTAACCTGGGCCACATTGTTGGGAGGCGAGCACTCTCACTACTGCCCATCCCAGTTCCTCCTAATCCCCTGTTCCCAAGACAGTTGCACCATCCCTACTCATAAGACAGTTGAAATTAAAACCACTCACCGCATTTGCCATTTTTCTTCTGCTAAGCGTTCTCCTGTAGTAGCTAAAGTCATTTTGAATTGCTGGATTTGTCATCTGTCAATGTTGAAAACAAAAACAGGTATATTTTGTTGATATTATGGAAGTAAAAAGATAGTTCATTGCAGTAACAAAATGAGCCTGAATTCAACATGTTTGATGTCATAATGTAAGTCAACACCACACAATTTGTACCTTTAAGTCATCAAATTTAAGGGTGAAGTGAAGAATTTCTGCAAACTGCTTTGCCAGGGCCTGTGACAGAGAAAACAAAACAAAACGTTAAGCTTTGCGGAGTACTGTTGCTGCAAAACCCACTGTTTGATAGGAGTAAGATGAAAAAACACTTTGCTTGAAAGATCCATGAATCCTACTTGCATCTTACTATGTACCCAGGAACTCTTACTAATAAACTTATAAACTAGCCAAGTAACTCTGACAATCCAAACAACACAAGTTCCGAACACCCATGGACAAAATTTTAAAGGAGAGAGTTTTTTTTCGACCATGAAACTATAAATTTACTTTTAAAGTACAAATTTGGGCACCTATGCCACTTTTAAATCTTGGTTAGGTTAAGCCTGAAACAACTGTGTTCAACACAGCTTGAGTCTAAATACATGTAGGCATACATATGCTAGTAAACTGTGAATCAGAGCTCATTCTAGTGCAACCATTGCCAGATGTAACAAATATGTGATAAAGTAAATTTCTAATACCGCAAATGTATATTAATTATTCACTAAGCGTGCGGGTAGTACTGGGAGAATATCAGCCCAAGGTCTTGACAGTATGGACCGAGCACATCAAGGTCCATACAAAAAAGAGAGGGCTGATATTCTTCCAGTATGGCCCAGAGCAAGCTTGGTTAATAAGAGATTTATTAAATGACTGTCACTACCCAAAAATCTTCAAGAGAGATCTTGCGGGATCATTTGGGACAGTGCCGGTCCAATACTTATAGAATATTGGAGTAGCAATGGAGCAATCTGATTGGTTGATTTTAGTCATCGGCCCTCTGAACTAACTTGGTTGTGTAGCAAACACATGATATTCACCTGCTGTCGTTCAAGGTGCTCAAGAGGAGTCTCTGGTCCGGCACAAAGAGCATGAAGAAGCTGAGGAAGAACAGTCTCTGCACAAAAATGTAAAACAACAACTTCAAACTGATGTCACAAATGTGCTTGGAATACAGAGTTCAGCTTGAGACCAAATGAAATCCTGGGATCTTAGACTTACAGATGGATGTCATTTGACAGAAACTGTAAAACATGTAAACTGGTCTGACTTCTATAAAACATACACTGTGGGTCAGCAACTTAACGAACAGTGAAATCTTCATTTGTAACAAATCTGTCCCATTTAGACAGCACATAGAGTAAAGGCATTTCTTTTTTCCTAAGAGGGCACGGTAACAAATCCTGCAATCTGATTGGTTCTCAGTGCAGTCCGGATTTTCCTATCTCTGACCACAGTCATGGTAGCATGCACCCGATGTGTGAATGGAAAAGGTCAACAATCATGAAAGAGATTTGAGAGAGTGGAAAAATTACCAGCTTAGGCTTAGGGTCAGTCTGTGTAAATTTTCCTTTAAAGACCTCAGTCACAGTTTTTCACTATACAGACCTCCCAGTGAAATAACACATTTGTCTTCTATCATTAGTCAATGAGGAGTCATTTGTCACTCTTCTATCTTGAAATCAATCATTCAAGTATGACAAATTCCCTACTCTTCCAGTGGTTAACAACAAAAAACAAAGTTTACCACTCAAGGAAGTAACTTAGCCAACATTTCTACAGTCACTTACCAAGTTCTAAAGCATATTCATAAAATGACTTCAGTTTTCCAACAAGTGGTACAACTGCTTTCCATGCCATTTCCTGCAGTTCTTCATCAAGGGCATTAGAAATTGCCTGCAGCAACACAAAATAAAGCAACAAAGACTTAAGTGCATCAATAACACCAACTGAATGAATATCTGCACTTCCACATGTACCTATGTCCTTAGAGTATTGCTGCCCAGAATTACAAAGCAGATTTGTAACTATGAGCTTGAGTCACTTTTGGCTGGTGGATGTCTTGGCATCCTGTGTAATAATTAGACAGTAAAATAACATTTTACTCTTACTAATTATCTTCTTTTCTTAAATTTATTGCTGTTGTTGTTGGTGCTACTTTCACAAAAATTTTGTTTACTGGTGTAAGACTAGTGTAAATTTTCTAGCTCAGACTTCATAACTTTGTGTATATTGTTGTAATTACATGTACACTGTAGCCTAAGATCCCCCCATTGAGGTGCCCCCATTAAGCTAAGGGTTCAACCCTCAGCTCTGGCAAATAAATAAAGTCTGTTTATTATTTATTGATTTATTATTATTATTATTATTATTGTTATTGTTATTGTTATTGTTATTGTTATTATTATTATTATTGATGTTTATTTTCCTGCAAACCCCAAAGAAGAACTTACCTGTCTGATTTCTTCATTTGCACCCCGATAATTTTGTAACTCTTCTAAAATCCGTGGTGCAACAACCAAAACACCGTTCACTACCTCATAAACTTCCCTCTCTCCTTCTGTTGGCGAGGCATCTAAAAATCAAATATTAGACAATAACAATCTCTTTAGAAACTTCATTACAATTTTTGTCCTAACAAATACTTATTTGTTGTCAGCCACTGATGTAATAGGAATTCTCATGCATGTACACATTATCCATACACTGCAGTAGCAGCTGGGAAAATTCATTTCACGTAAAATTAAGTCTTTCTTTCTTTCTACAGGGCGGCCCATTCAGGTCAAAGGTTGGTACCCATAGGGGCCCCATAAATATAAAATTAATTGAATATACACATTAAAATCTATCTAGAGCATTGATTAAATTATACATTAGAAATCTAAGAATCTAAGAAGACATTATAAAATTAAAATAAATGACAACTTTAAGTTAGAATTTAAATGTTCTAAAAAATCATGATGTGAATAAAAAGGTTGTTGCTCGGCAGCAGAAGGTCTGTATGTTTGCTGCGTTTTACACTATTTGCAGGAAGTTCTGTCATTAAAAAGTTTTGCTTCACTAAGAAGAAATGTCCTTCTCCCAAAATATAGCTTCACTTTTGGTAAAAAAAAGCCTTAAACTCTGCCCTGTGGTATATAGTTAAATTTACTTTCTTTCAATTATTGCTGATCTTTTTTTTACTTCTTTTGACCTACAGATTGTACAGTGAAACCTGTATTGAACAGACACCCTTGGAACACTCATTAATGTCCGCTTAATACAGGGTGCGTGCTCTAAACAGGTTCTAATTGATATTATTTATATTGTGCAATGATAGTTAATTATTAAAACCTTTTGTAACACAGTGTAACAGTGAAAGATAAAAGAGTGCTCATAGCACAATGCCCAGTCAGTCAATGCATCAATCTGGAATAGTCTAGTGCTTAGCTTTAAAACTACATTGCTGAACAATGTTAAATGAGTCCCAGCTGAGCTTTTAGAAGTAAAAAGCCCTTGAAGTGTCCAGTTATTGCAGGTTTTGTGCAACAAAAAGGCTTAATATTGGTGTCTGCATCTGCTTAACAGAGGTGTCCACTGAACGCACATTTATTTTACAGTAAATGTGGGAATGGTGTCCACTTAATAGAGAGTGTCAACAATGTAAGAAAACAACAGAATATTGATCGTTGCTTATAAGTCTCCATTAAAACTTACTTTCAAAATCCAAGAATATGTCAATTTTATTACCACCGGAATCTTGCTCTTCTCTTGTTAGAAGCTTGAGGATATTCCCCATAACAGGTTGTTCGTCATGAACTGTCGCCATGAAAAAAAAGTTAAACAGAGAATACAAAATTAATATTGACCCAATGCCAGACAAATTGCAAAGAATAATACCAGGGATCCATTTGTTTTTTCTCAAAGTTGTCAGCCAGGTAGGTATGCCAGATGACATACTTGCCCTGGCAAAATTTTACTTGCCCTTTCAATAGGAAAGAATTGCAACTGAACAATGTGTTTTTGCCGATGCAGATACAGCACAGAGCATCAGTGGTTGACAAATGATATGATATCATTCATGGAGAATACCATCATCCAAGATGGTGGAACAAAATGATTATTTTATTGCAAAAGAAAGCTGCAAATCTTTTTCTTTTTTCAATGGATGACAAGTGGTTAGAATGTAGGAAACTCTGTTTTTTGTTTTCTATTTCTCTTTTAGTGGACTCTTTGTGTGTTCTACTGAAAAAATGCAATTCTGAAAAGTTTTCCATTATTGTTGCCCTTTTGCTAATAGAACACCTTTGTCTGTCATTACTCTTGACATGAAAATTATTCTCTAATGTTTTACTAAGATTGTCTAACATCAGGGTCCGAAATTAACTTTTTCAGCAGGCGCCAACTGGCGACTGAATTTTTTATTCAGTCGCCAAATGGAAACATGTGGTCGCCAAAAAGCGTCAATAAAATTTTTCCTTCGCAGCGAAACACAAACCAAAATTTTTTGTCACCATGGGCTTGCCGGCAAAATATTTGCAATCGATGTAATCAGGAATCAAACCAGTGCTGAAATCATCTTTTGACCACTTTGACAGATCTACATTTCCACCTTTTGACGCCCAGAGAATATCTAAATCTTCATCTAATTTCTTCGCGGATGTTCCGTCTCCACCTTGTAATAAATTAGGAAAGATTTCACAACATCTTTGGACACCACATCACCTGGATAAATATTCATGGCGAAAGAACGCACGTGGCCTTTTAAACCCGCAATACATATGTTATGGGAAACCATTGAAAAAACATGGCAGCAAAGCTTCGCACTGATCGTTGCTGTGAGACGTTGTGGTAGATTTATAATAACAGGACGATCGGTTTTATACTTCAAAAGTAGCGGAAAGGTAAAAAGGAAGTGATCAATTGGTGGGCGGCTTTGAATTTTATTTCAATCGATTTGGCTGACAATCAAAGTTATTGTTTGTATAATTATCGTGGCATGAAATAGTTAATCACCCGCTGGCGACCAGTTGTGAAATCCTGGTCGCCAGTGCAAAATTTTTAGTTGCATTGGCGACCAGGAAAGCGCAATTTCGGACCCTGAACATTTGTAGAATTTAGATAGAAAGCAGTCATTTACATGTTTTGTCTACTAAAATGATTAGACTGCTCACCATCATAAGGATTTAAAAGTTCTTTCGAAAATCCAGGCAACTGGTAAGAACTAGAACATTTGAGTTCTTCCTGACTCAGACTTTTTTGTGTGTTAACATGCCATTATCTTGACACACCAGAGTAAATCCAGAAAAAATTTTAAATTCAGTTAGAGGAGTGAATGTAAAAAAAGTTCCATTATATATATGACATCCAGTTGAACCTCTCTACAACAGCCACCACTGGGACAGAGGAAAGTGGCCTCTGAAGTGGCCATTATGGGGACATAGGGGTGTAATATGACAACAGCTTTTTTCAATTTTTTCTGGAGTGCAACATTTTTATTTAAAAAAAAAATGCTTATTGTGTCATGTATGTACGTAACACAATGAAAACATCAATAAAAGAATAAATAGAAAATAAACAGAAACAGAGACCAACAACATTTGGAAAAAATCAAGTTTTGTGGCCTGTTACAATAAAAAATTGCCTTTTGTATATTCCATTCATCAGCAGTTGCTTTTGTTGTAAGGTTATTTTGGCAGTTGGGATATGCTTTAACAGTGGCTATTTCTGATGTGGAGAGGTGGCTGTTGTATATAGAGGTTGAAATACGTGTAAGAGTAAATTACAGCCTGTCCACCAGGACTAAAAAAGTGGCTGTTAGTGGAGGTTGGACTGTATTTTCCTCTTCCTAACAGACAAAGTGGAAGACATTATAGGCTGATTTGTACTAGTTAACCAAACATTTTTACAAATTTTCTGTCATCAACAATGCTTAATGAATATGGATGGTTGGTTTGGGCTTGACAAGTCTTGCTCAAGAGAGAAAAAGCTTCAAATTTAGTGCATGCAAAGTTTGTCCCAGGTAACAACTGAACCAAATTGACCCGGTTAACAAAGGTCTATATGTTCGTCAAACTTTACAATCACAAACCATAATAGCTAATAGCCTTTCCAGTAGCAGTTACTTTCATTGACAGAGACTTAAAATAGTTTTAAGCCTGGAGCCAAGCCAAGAGGCAAACATTGTCCTGACAAAAACTTGTTGTTTGACTTTGTCCAAGACAATTCTGTTTCATGATCATCTGCTAGTGCGGATTGGCCCCATGCCAGGAAATGCATAAAACAAACGTATACAAAAAAATTACTGTTGCACAGGGGATTAAATTTTCAATTTGACTTGCACATGCATGTAATTAGTAACTGAAAATGAAACAAAAATGGCTTACAATTTCACACTAATTTAAATTTCGAGTTTAGACCAAAGAAAGTCTGCTAGTTAAGAAACTTACTTAGTTTCCAAAGGCACAATGTGAAAGTTCCATGTTGTTTCCAAATTATAATCTAACTTACCCAGCATCGTGTACTTAACTTAATTTAACTTACACCAAAAAAGATCTGAACATGTTCATGTTAAATCAATAAGCTTAAGCTTTTTCAATACCCCATAAGAAGAATAAAACACATGCAAGAGAGAAACAATTAAAGATCAACCTACGATGTTAACAAGGAAGTAGATGAAGGCCTTAACGGCAGGATCAGAAAGGAAATTAACCGACCACGAAACAGAAGAGCTCAGCCACGATAAGTGGCAATCATTAGTTTACAACCAAAGAAGTCTTATGTTTCGAGACGGATGTGTGAAATTGCAGCATTATGGAACGACCAAAATCTTTCCAATCAGGCCAAAGTTTTCCCTCTGTACTGCATTTCCCCTTTAGTCTAAACACTATATATTGCTATGCTTGAGTCAATAAACAAGCAAGACCAATAACACGATTCGTCCGATTCGTAGCGTGAAACCTACATGAATTGAAATCGAACAGTCTCATTCGACCAGTTCCACTTTCACATAGAATTCGTTCGATCGTGTTTTTAAGTCACGAAGAGGGAATTAAAGCGATTGGCAGGATGAATAGTACATGCAGACGAAGAGGAACCTACACAGACTTTTCAAGCAAGGAAACTGTGTAGTTTGTAGAAACAGGGTCTCACGATCACTCACCTGAGTTTGTGCAACCGGAAAGGGAAACGCAGAACCACAACAATACAGCGAGCAGCGGGTCCCTATCTCGCACAAAATGTGACTAAACCCTCTCTTTTGACACCGAAGTTAAGAAAAAGTTAATCCAAGCAACAAGGGCTCCCTTTCTCGCCTTGAAAGTCTGCGCTGAGAGCTGTGGCATGGGACTCTTCCTTGTTGCTTATAGGCGCTTCAAGCTTCAAATAGCAAAGGCACTGAATGGCACGTTTCCACGCCCTCCTAGCCCATAATATTATAGGGCTGTTCTGGGAATGGCTCCTTATTACCTTCAGTTCCTGTGTACGGTACCAAAGAATGTACTACCAAATATGGTAATATGATGGCGGGAAAGTTGATACATAGGAATTTTTACTCAAAGTACATACATTTTTATTGAAAAGTAAATATAATGCAAAGCCGTGAATGAAGATCCTGCTTGACTTCTAGCATCGTTTTAATTTTATAGAACAAAAGGCCAAGCTTTTCGAGCGAAAAAGGCCAAGCTTTCACCACGCCAAAGACAGAAAACTTTTATATATAATTTATAGTAAAAATAAACCCGCGTGTTAAAACCCCGGGGAGAATCCCATCTAAAAATGACGGGGGTGCTCCTTGGGAATTTTGAAAAGAACCCCAGGTACCAAGACAACGTGATATTCTGGATTTTTGCCCATTCAGTTCAGGGTTGCGCGTTTTGCATGTGACATTGACCAATTTGCAAACCGTTTGGATTTGAGTTTCATCTCAGGTCATTACCATGTCCATCTGATAGACAATCGGTCCACAAGCCGGTTGTTCTATCTTTTGCTGCTACACCGTGCTGACGAGACCAAACCAGGTCGAAACAGCTGACCACGGTCGCAATTCTTGATTTTCAGTTTGGACTCAATCATGTCGTTTAATCAGCCTTGCTTCATTGTTACATTAACTGACACCGACGTTTTTCGGCCCAATTCCCTAAAGCTCCTGCTGTGGGATCTTTTGAGGCCGAACTCCCTGAGGGGTACCAAATCCGCTTTTTAACCCCTAAAGGGTACGACGAGCACCCCCGTCCCTTTTCTATCGAAGTCAAACACCCCGCCAACCCGGGTTAAGAACCTAGTGGTTTAAGATCCTGCTGACAGAAATTTGCCATTTTAAAACCCAACAATATAAGAACCTGTTTAGTCAACCAAGTTCAAGCAGGTTCTTATATGTGGGTTACAGTTAAATATTATGAACTCTCGTCATAGAGGCAACACTACATATACCCGGGACATATGCATTTCTGTAATCAGTTGTGTTAGACTTATCATAATACGGTTGTGAATAAATCCTGTATATTTAAGGACCAAACCCCAGTTTACTTATTTTTCTGGTAATCAACAACTAAATCTCCTTCGTGGAAATTAAGAACTTAACTAAGGACAAGGACCTACTTAGCCTAAATTGCCAACTACCCCAAAATACAAGAACCTATTTTGGCAGACTTCAAAAAATATACGTTCTTACACGCGTGTTTTCACTGTTCTATAGGTAAAAAAATTCCTGCTGAATCGCATACTTATGAAACTTTGAGAGGAGATCAGCGAAGTGTTTTGAGTCGATTAGTGGTGGGACGACAGGAAATAACGACGTGAAATATTATATTTAAAAGGGAAAGGGTCATAGTGTGCTAGTAAGTTCCGAGAGAGATTGGGCCCAAATTCAATATGGCCTCTGTTTTAGGCCATCCTCTGCTGGCGGGATCGCGAACTTGTTTCCTTCGAAGAGCAGTCAATTTGAAGTCTTTAGCGAGATTCAAGTTGCAACGAACACCGCGCCACATAAGTACAATTTCTTCAAAAATCCAAGTGAATGGTGTTGAAATTCACTGCGAAGTTGCCGGCCAAAGTAACCACGTTGTTCTGTGTTTACCTGGAGCGCTCGGCTCAACTCAAAGTGACTTTGGTCCCCAGCTTAAGGGGCTTAACGATGAATTTACAGTGATAGCATTTGATCCGCGAGGATATGGAAAATCGATTCCTCCTAAACGTGATTTTCCAGCTGATTTCTTTGTACGGGACGCAAATGATGCTGCCGCACTAATGAAAACTCTTGGTAAGGGAAACATGGTACGATTTTTTCTTCCGTCTGTCTCAATAAGTTTACATTAATTATAGACATTTTGTAGATGATGGAAAAGCTTATACAACTATTCCGGGGAGGGGGCAGGGGAGGGGATCCGGATGCTGATCGCAAATCTAGTTAAAATAATGGGACAGTCCATTTTTTATCTGCATATTCTTTTATCTACAAAGAAATTTTAAAAATTTCATGCCCAATCAATCTAAACCCTTAAATAATAACACGTGGGGCACTCAACTGATTGACTTCTGCGAATACAGTATGAACATGGTTTGTGTCTTCATGTGTAACGCAATTAAAAATTTTGAATTTCAAGCTTGACAGAGCAAAAACTTGGTGTCTATGCTTTCAAATCTCTAGGTCACTCTAAATATTCCCTCCTTGGATGGAGTGATGGTGGAATAACTGCAATGATACTGGCTGCAGCACATCCTCAGCGTGTTCATCGCATGGTGGTGTGGGGTGCTAATGCCACTGTTACTGCTGAAGACGTCAAGCTGTATGAAGCTATCAGAGACACATCAAAGTGGAGCCCTAAGATGAGGGAGCCCTTAGAAGGTAAGGCATGTTGTTTCTTAAATTTACAAGAACAGTGAGAAGGGATCCTTCTGGCTTTTATCCTTCAAGGACACCAGCTTTCAATTTCTTCTCAAAACATCAGTACTAGACATGGAGGTATAAAAGAGACATATTTATATAAAGATGGCAGGCCTCATTTCTCAGTCATCATCAAATCATCCATTCCAATACCATGTTACTGGTGATTTTGTCTAAATCGTAAGTCAGTAGTGTTGGTGTAAAGAGAAGCAGCAAATCTTCATATCTGTAGAATGAGGGAGCAAAGATAGCACAGTGGGCTCAGAGTGCTAATGCCTCCCCCCACTGATATGTCCAGGAAGCCATTATAATGATATGCATACTCTCTATGATAAGCATCACAAATTGTCCTCATTCATGAAAAGTCACCAAAACACACATAATTCTGTCATATATGAAGTAATATGAAAATGACTCTTGTGATGAGCATGTATCTCATTAGTGTGCAATCCTGGACACAAGTGTCCCACAAGTGTGGCACAGGTGTGAATCCTAGAACCTAAGTGGTTGAGATTTTTGAGTAAAAACGCTTTGTTTAGGGTAGGGGAGAAGTGCCATAGCTAGTGACTGGCAAACAGAAGCACTTGCCTTGGTAAAATTTGAAATTTATTTATTTATTGATAATTTACAGGTTCCCATAAGAGGCTATGCTTTAAATGATATAAATCAATATGAGAGAAATGTATTTTTCGACATTGCCTCTCTAAGAACATTGAACATTAATGGGATCCCTGTCTTTATGTTGTGCCATAACTGCACAAGATACTTCTCTCTTGTTGTCTCTCTTCAACCAGGGATATAAAATGGGTGTGTGTTGAGCCATATCACTAGCTCGGGGGACAGGGGGAGGGGCACTCTGTAAATCCTTGGGTATGGGTCTTCTGAAACCCTTACCCTATACCAGACCATGATCACCTTGATTTTGCAACCCTATTCTAGACTGGGCACAAAAAGCCCCTACCCTGTCCCAGACTGGCAATTTTCAATGGGAAAACTTTATCACTATCATAGTCCAACATACACTAGCTAAACCAATATCTTACAAAGTCACTTCCAAGTTTCAATTTCTGTTATAGAAGTCCAGGTAAAGAACCCCATTTTAGGCTAAATTGCTTATACACTGCCACTGTCTGATTTCTATACCCTCTCCCAGACTAAACTGTCTGAGAGCCATATTTTTTGCAGCAGCACATACCCATATAGCTTATGTATGTGGGAGTACCCCCCTCTCGCCCTGTGGTCACTAGGTGCCATAAATATCTGCAAACGCATTTTTCTTAAGATTTTCTGAAGTGAAGTGTTCGATATTGTCCACTCTATGGAGCTTTCAAGGTTAACCCAGTACATATGTGGTTACATTTCAGCCCTGTATGGAAAAGAAGGACTCCAAGAAATGAACAGTGGCTGGATAGATGGCATAAGCCAATACTTTACTGAGCGAGGTGGTGACATTTGTACTAGTGAAGTAAAGAAGATAGAGTGCCCTACCCTGGTGGTGCATGGGCAGAAAGACCCCCTGGTTCCACAGTTTCACCCTGAGTATTTACATGCCAACATC